TCACACTCTTCGGGTTTTCCACTAACGATGCAACACGGAATTATTCAAGAGGGCTTCTCTGCGCAGGTAATAGGGTAGCCCTGGACAAAACGGTTTACACATACTTGGGTAAATGACTAGGGAACGTGGTCTTTGCTGCTGTGCAGAGCTTACAGTAAGTAGGATCCTACCGTGTCATTTTTGCACTGCTTAATGAATCACGTTAACTCTTAGGCTATCGCCTCAGTGCTGTTCTTTTAGATTTCTGGTTGGTTCCAGACTTCCCCAGAGAGCACTGAGGTCAGGGTCGCAAAATCACTTGGCCCTCCCTGGGCCAAAAGATGCCAGACTGGCTTCCACAAGGGCCAGGGCATTTTCAGTGGCGGCTCCATACTGGTGGAATGAGATTCCAGAAGACATCGGGGCCCTGCGGGACCTCTTACAGTTCCGCAGGGCTTGTAAAACCAGGGGTCATTTCCTGCAGGAGCCCACAGGAGCGGAGCTCCGGCAGTAAAGAGCCCAGGGGGCGGGCACATGCAACAAGCCCCACCCCCTGCTCCCAGCAGACCTCAGTCAGAGCAAGAAGCAGCCAGGTAAGCTGCAAAGCCCCCCCCCCAGCCCCAAACAGTCCAGGGGCACCTTTAAGACCAAGTTTTATTCAGGTACAAGCTCTCCCTCCTCTGCAAGGACAGATCTGCATGTTCCTCCCCTCCCAAATAGCTAGCAATCCAAAACAGTCCAGTGGAGCCTAAGCGGTGGGTGTTGCCTCCTGACACACTTCCGGTGGCGTCAGGGGGTGTGGCATATGCAAATAAGTTATGCTAATGAGTTATGCTAATGAGCTCCTGCACCTTTTTTTCTACGAAATGACCCCTGTGTAAAACGGAGCTCTTCCACCAGGCCTTCAATTAGGAGCTGCCACTAATAACATCCACTAATAACATCAAGAACACCGATGCCGCTAACTGAATGGTTAAGGCCCTTGTACTGACATCAATAGCCAGCTATGCCGGATGTTGACGGGGGCCATTTTCGGGCATATTGCATCATGGCCTCTGGGACGCCATCGCTACCATAACTTTATTTTATATTATTTTCATTCTGCGCTATGAATAGGTATGTTTTGTATTTATGATGCTGTATCCTATAAGCATGGAGCTGCGGTGGCTCAAGTGGTTAAGACGCTGAACTGCAGGCTGTGGAAGGTCGGTAGTTCAGCAGTTCGAGACCCAAGTGTGCCGCATGACGGAGTGAACTCCCGTCGATAGGTCCAGGCAATGTTCCCTCTAAGCTGTGGAGTCTTGTGAGCAAAAATTCTACTTTTTGAGCTACTGGCATTAAAGTTGTGAGCGAGTGATTTGGCTACTGCATAAATGAGTTTGCTCTGGAGCCATCCTTCCTGAGATAAGACAAAAATGTGTGAGCCAGAGGCTAAAAAACTGTGAGCTAGCTCACACTAACTCAGCTTAGAGGGAACACTAGTTCCAGCTCCTGCCAACCTAGCAGTTCGAAAGCAAGAAATTGCAAGTAGATAAATAGGTACCACTCCGGTGGGAAGGTCACAGCGTTCCTTGCGCCTTGGTGTTTAGTCATGCCGGCCACATGACCATGGAAAATGTCTTCGGACAGCGCTGGCTCTTCGGTTGGAAACGGAGATGAGCGCCGCAACCCTAGAGTCGGATTCAACTGGCTTTCGAGCAAGGGAACCTTTTACCTTACTATGAATTGGTATGTTTTGTATTTATGATGCTGTATCCTATAAGCACATGTGTTTTAATGTATTTCTAACTTTATTGTAAGCCGCCCTGAGCCTGCCTTCGGTGGGGAGGGCGGGATAAAAACTGAATGAGTAAATAAATAAATAAATGCTACAATCCCAGGGCATTGTTTGTTGAGGGTCCCGTTCCGTTGACTCTACTGACTCGCTTCTGTGAAATCTGTCTTGAACCCCGTTGAGAAAGGCGGGGGGATGAACAACATAAATAAAAATGAGCAACTAAATAAACAAAATCCTCCTCTCTCCAGTCCAGCCCTAAATCGTTCTTACAAACTACATATCCTGCCTATTAAAAAAAACAACGCCAAAGGAATAGAAAAGAACATCATAGAACCAATTAGAACGAAAACGCCGCGGTGGGAAGCACCCTCACATGGCAGCCGACTTACGGTGACGGTGAGAGGTTTCCAGAGCAAGAGATGCTCAGGGGTTGGTCCGCCCTTGCCTGCCCCTGCACAGCGACCCTCGACTTCCTTGGCGGCCCCCATCCGAGTTATTAACCAGGGCTAAGCCTGCTTAGCTTCTGAAAACTGATGAGATCGCACCAGCCTGGGCCATCCAGGAGAAGGCAAGAGACAAAACACAGGCGGTCTGCCCCTTGCCTGCCTCTGCACAGCGACCCTCGACTTCCTTGGTGGCCCCCCATCCATCCAAGTACGAACCGGGGCTGAGCCTGCTGAGCTTCTGAGATATGGCGAGATTGGGCTAGGCTGGGACATCCAGGTCAGGGCAGATGAAGAGAGGTGGTTTGCTATCGCCTGCCTCTGCGTGGCGACCCTCGACTTCCTTGGTGGCCTCCCGTCCAAGTTCTGGCCACAGCCGACCAATGCTTTGCATAAGAACACAAGAGAAGCCCATGTTGGATCAGGCCAGTGGCCCATCTAGTCCAACACTCTGTGTCACACAGTGGCCAAAAAGACCAGGTGCCCTCAGGAGGTCCACCAGTGGGGCCAGGACACCAGAAGCCCTCCCACTGTTGCCCCCCCCAGCACCAAGATTACAGAGCATCCCTTGCCCCAGACCAAGATCTCCTATCTATACCTTGTGGCTAATAGCCACTGATGGACCTCTGCTCTTAACATAAGGACATAAGAGAAGCCAGTGTTGGATCAGGCCAATGGCCCATCCAGTCCAACACTCTGTGTCACACAGTGGCCAAAAACACCAGGTGCCCTCAGGAGGTCCAGCAGTGGGGCCGGGACACTAGAAGCCCTCCCACTGTTGCCCCCCCCCCCAGCACCAAGAATACGGAGCATCCCTTGCCCCAGACTGAGAGTTCCTATCTACCCCTTGTGGCTAATAGTCACTGAGGGACCTCTGCTCCAGATGCTCATCTAATTCCCCCTTGAAGCCGTCCATGCTTGTTGCCGCCACCCCCTCCTGTGGCAGTGAATCCCTTGTGTTAAATCACTCTTTGGGTGAAGAAGGACTTCCTTTTATCCCTTCTAACCCGACTGCTCGGCCATTTCACGGAGTGCCCACGAGTTCTTGTATGGTGAGTTGTGCTTTGGTCTTACCTATGCAAATATCCATACAGCTCTTCGGGAGACGGCACCGACTTCCCCTTGGCCTGGTACTGTTTCAGCAGGCGCGAAACTTCAGCCACTTGCTTGGGGGACAGGATTCCCCCTTCATGCACTTTGGGGGAAGAGAGAGAGAGAGAGAGAAATGAAACCACGCCTAAAGCCCAGGCGACAGAGCTCGTATATCGGAGACGTTGGCCGCCCCTTGCCGAGCAGAGGTAAGCCCACGCACCAGGATGCGGCTTCAGAGCGCTGGCGGCTTCCAAGGCAGTGTAGCCCACCCCAGCTTTGGCCAAGGGAACCTTCGTTTTCTGGACAGCAGCGTTGCTGGAAGGCTGGATCCGAATGGCGCTGACGGAGGCCCGCACGGGATCCCAGAGGTCCGTGGACCGCTCGTGGTAGGACGTAGATATGCCTAGAAAGGAAGTTGCAGAGCGCTAAGTCGTGAGGCCCTTCAGCCTCGAAGCCACTTCTCCCTGTGCCCCCGGTGCTCACCGTGGCTGGTCTGGTTTAAAGGACACTGACGGCCCTCCAAGCTGGTGCGTTCCCAACATCCCTTGGGCTACCATCCCCACACAGCCGTGCTTATTGGGCCCAGCGTATAGCAAGGGACGGGGGACTGCCGGGAAAAGGGTTGCGCTCTTACCCGACTGCGGCTGCTCCATGGGGTGGGATGGGTTTTCGCCAGAAAATCCCTCCTGCTTCTGGGCACAGTTCTCGCTGGAAGACTGCTCCAGCAGCTAGAAGGCACAGGCAGGCAGGAGCTGAGATACGTGGGACCGGGGCTGCCAAAGAGGGCCTCTGCTTGGCACGCAGAAGGACCCCAGGGCCAGCTCCCGCCACCTCACGCTTAATCACAAAGAACAGATTTGGGGAAAGGCTGTTCCCCTCCCCTCTGTCCCTAAACCGCCGCTGCCAGCCAGTGGACAGAAGACGGCCAACCCTGGAGGGACCACTGTCTCTCTCCTCCCCCCCCCCCGCCCACTTTCACCCCCCACTCTGGCAACAGCCCCCCAGCTCTTTACAGGCACCAACTGGGAAGGGGACGCAGCAGCAGCAAACGCGGTGAAGTTTCCCCCCACTGAAAGGGCTATATGATTTCTATCGCACTTCCAACTAGCCAGGACCAGTGTTCCCTGTAAGCTGAGTCGGTGTGAGCCAGCTCAAGTTTTTTAGCCCTCCGGCTCACACATTTTTGCCTTCGCTCGGGAAGGATGTGGCTCCAGAGCAAAGTGATTTGTGCAGCGTCCAAATCACCTGCTCCCAACTTTAATGCCAGGAGCTCACACAAAGTAGGATTTTGGCTCACAGGACTCCACAGCTTAGAGGGAGCGTTGGCCAGGACTAGGAGCAAATAAGAAATTATTATTATTTTTTTAAAAAGCACCATATTGTTTTAATTTTTTTAAAAAAGAATCAAATTACTACCAGTGCCACTTATTTTTTCTTTTAAACTCCTCTGCAGGGCTGGCTGGCTGGCTTCAAAATCCAGCGCTTTGGATTTTGCGCTGCGATTGTATCAGGACAAACCAGTACGCACGCAAACAGGGTTTTGTTACTCTGGCTAGCAGGAAGGGTGATTTAAATCACCTTCGGGAAAGGGCAGAAATAGAACCGCCTGAACGGGAGGAGACGGCCGTTCGTTGTACGACACGTACCAGGCGCACATAGTGGTGCAAATCAGGCGGGAGGGGCTGGCCCCCGCTCTCCAAACTGCTACGCTGAGGGGTCTCGCCCTCGCTGCCCACTACCTCCATGATGGTCTCCTCGGTGTCGTCGGTGAACGGGTGCTCTGCCAAGTTCTCTGTCTAGAGAGACAGGCCTAGAATTGGGAGGGGGGGGGGGGGGAGAGAAAGCCGGGAGACCCACGTTGCTGTAACAGCTCAACCACAACGGCTGCCTTGAGCAAAATCAGAGCTGCTCAGGGCCTCTTCTGAGATGGGTTCAAAAGCCCACCCCCAAAGACGGCTCGCACACACAGAGGGGCAATTATGAAGGGCACGAGTGTGTGTGTGTGTAAGAGGTCCCACAGGGCCCTGATGTCCTCCGGGAGCTCATTCCACCAGTGTGGAGCCACCACTGAGAAGGCCCTAGATCTGGTAATAGCCAGTCTGGCATTTTTTTAGGAGAGGGAGGAATAAGCACACACACACACACATACACACTCACCTCCAAGAGCCCCCGTGTGGTCCATCTGCGGTTCCAGGTGCTGGAAGCCCTGCTGGCTGAGGATGCTGCAGTTGAGGATGTGGCTGAATTCCGAGGAGAGGCGCCCCATGTCGGGGAGGAGGGGCAGGAAGGACCGGTAAGGGCCCAGCCCGGACTTCTCTGGGCCTCCCAAAGAGCCCTGCGGGGCGCCGTGCTGAGCGACCGGCCGCAGGGGCACGGCCTGGGGGCACCCCGCCCCCTTGCAGTCCCCGGCGTCCTGGAGGCTCCCGAGAGATCCCGCCTTCTGGTCCTTCTTAAGAGATTCCGAGAGCTGAAGGCGCTCCAGTTCCGAAGCGGGGCCTGGGTCAGGGGGAGCGTCCTAGGAGAACACAGCTGAGTGTTACAGCCAGGGCTGCCACCCTCCAGGTGAGCCAACAACAAGCACACAGGGAACATGGCTAAGTTAGACAAGCACAGAAAACACCATGTTGAAACAATAAACACAATATTCACATGTACTTATTGCTAAATATACTTGCTTTTTATACACAACATCAACTCTAGTGCATTGTAAACACTCTCAAACGACAACATCCCATTTCAAACACTTTCAAACTAAGTTATATAACATGAAGAGTCCGACTGCCTTCTTCCTGATGGAGGATAAATACCAATGTACAGCTATTTGTACCGAACAATGCAGCGACCTAGTGTACATTTCCCAAGTGATGATCCATCGGGTAAAGCTAGCAGGCAGCTTGTATTTCTCACTGTGATGATTCAGCTTAGCCAGTAAGCCAGAACAGCCGTGTTTACATTGTTTGACTGATGCACGGGTAAATTCAAGAGCTGTGGTTCCAGAAAAAATTTATGCCTGGAAAAGATTTGTTCGAAACACGCAGGTTAGGCCCGGGAGGCGTGTTAAGCAAAGAGAAGAGATTGGATTTATACCCCGCCCTTCACTTGGGAGTCTCAGAGCGGCTTACAAACTCCTTTACCTTCCCCTCCCCACAACAGACACCCTGTGAGGTGGGTGGGGCTGAGAGAATTCTGACACAAACTGCTCTTTTTCAAGGATAACTGTGCCAGAGCTTGTGACTGACCCAAGGTCACATCAGCAGCTGCAAGCGGAGGAGTGGGGAATCAAACCCGGTTCTCCCAGATTAGAGTCCGCACACTTAACCACCACACCAAACTGGCTCTGCTCTGGAAGGTGGGCTCTGGGGCACTGTACCCCACTGAGGTCCCCCCCCCTTCCCAAACCCCTCCCTCCCCAAGTTCCCTCTCCAAAATCTTCAGGTATTTCCCAACCCGGAGCTGGCGACCCTACTTAAAACAAACAAACCCACCGCTCAGGTCAGCAAGCAACACCCTGCCACCCTCAGCATCATAAAGCCAGTGTGGTGTAGTGGACTAGGATCACCACTCTGCCATGGAAGCTGGCTGGGTGACCTTGGGGCAGTATTGCACTCCCAGCCTAACCTGCCTCACAGGGCTGTTGTGGGGGTAACACAGAGAAGAAGGATGTAAGCCGCTTTGGGTCCCCAGCAGTGTGACCGCTAAGCTGAGTTAGTGTGAGCTGGCTCACAGTTTTTTAGCCTCCGGCTCACAGATTTTCGTCTCCGCTCAGGAAGGGATGGCTCCAGAGCAAACTAATTCATGCAGCAGCCAAATCGCTGGCTCATAACTTGAATGCCCAGGAGAGCTCATCAAGGAGGATTTTTGCTCACAGGACTTCACAGCTTAGAGGGAGCCTTGGTCCCCAGTGGGGAGAGAGGCCAGGGAGAGATAAAGTTTTTTTAACAGCAGAAAAGAGAAAGAGTCCAGCGGCACATTAAAGACTAACAAAATTTGAGGCATGGTACATGCTCCTGCCGAGAGCCTGCGGTGGCTCAGTGGTTAAGATGCCGAACTGCAGACTGGAAGGTCGGTAGTTCAGCAGTTCGAGACCCGAGTGCCACGTGACGGAGTGAGCTCCCGTCTCTGGCCCCAGCTCCTGCCAACCTAGCTGTTCGAAAGCAAGAAATTGCAAGTAGATAAATAGGTACCCCTTTGGTGGGAAGGGAACAGGGGTCCGTGCGCCTTGGCCACATGACCACGGAAAAGTCTTCGGACAGTGCTGGCTCTTCAGCTTGGAAACGGAGATGAGTACCGCACCCCTAGAGTCAGATTCGACTGGCTTTCGAGCAAGCGAAACCTTTACCTATGTGCTCCAGCGTGGTGTAGTGGTTAAGAACGGCGGACTCTAATCTGGAGAACTGGGTTTGCTTCTGCATTCCTCCACTTGACACCAGCTGGGTGACCTTGGGTCAGTCACGGCTCTCAGAGCTCTCTCAGCCCACCCACCCCCCAAAACTCTAGCTCACTAAAAAGAGTTAGAACTGAAGGCTGCCAGACGATCTTCGGATCTCCTGACTACACCACACAAAATGCCACACGATAATTTATTAGCCTGAATTGTGTAAGAGAGTCACTCAAGGGCAAACTGTAACATCTTCATGTTAAATACTGAACTTCTGAACGTTCACAACTGCTGTCTTGTGGCCAACAACACTGCCAGGTAGGCCAGCATTAGTAGGCTCACATCAAACGACAGAGGGGCCAAGGAAGACAAGCGGGCCGTGCCAACGGCTGCCTAGAGAGGTCACGGCAGAGGGAAGATGCAAACTTAGAGCAGGGCATGCTGGGAGTAAAGTCTGAGGTCTGTTACCCTGTCGACTTATTTACTAAAACATTTATATCCCGCTTTTTCTCGTGGTTCAAAGTGGCTTACAATAACAGTTGAAAACTTTTTCCAGTTAAAACCAAGCATGAAATCGGGTAGGCACGGAGCGCAACCCCTCACCTGTGGCAGCTCCCTGGAGCCCGACCGCGGAGAGACGCAGGCAAAGAGACGCAGAGCCTCATTCCAGTGGGCCTGCATCATCGCCTGGAACTGGCCCACCATCTCCGCACGCTGCGCTTCCAGCCGCCGACACCTGGCTTGCAGCTCCCGAAGATCTTCCTGCTGCTTGGAGATCCTGGAGGGGGTCAAGAAAGCCACCGTGGGGGCAAGAAAGCCACTCGCCCAGCCCAAGGAGCCACCAGGAACACGTGCCTGCTTCTTCTCCTCTGCCTTCTGATCCAAAAATGATCCCCAGGGCAACTCATTTATTTATTCATTATTTATCTATTAAAAAACATCTCTATCACGGCCTTCCTCTTGTTTCCAGGTGGCTTACGATAATATCTAAAATCATCCCCAGATAAAGCAAAAAAATTTTGTTGTTGTTGTTGTTCAGTCGCAGTCGAGTCCGACTCTCCGCGACCCCATGGTCCAGATCCCGCCAGGCCTTCCTGTCTTCCGCCGTCCTCTGAAGTTTGCTCAACTTCATGTTCATTGCATCAATGACACTGTCCAAACATCTCATCCTTTGCCGTCCCCGTCTTCTTTGACCTTCAATCTTTCCCAGCATCAGGGTCTTCTCCAGGGAGTGCTCCCTTCTCATGGGGTGGCCAAAGTACTTGAGCTTCAGTTTCATTATCTGGCCTCCAAACCCCCCCCCCCTTCTCTCTCCCTTGAAAGACTCCTGCTGTTCAAGCCCAGTCAAATACCCGGGCAAACAGGCAGGTCCAGCAGCGCCTCCTGAGGAGCTCCAAGGGAGGGGCCCCTCTCACCTCTCCAGGAATCCCATCCCACAGAGCCGGAGCCACAATGGAAAAGGCCCCGCGCTTCGGTCGAAGTCAGACAGGGACAGGATAGCCAACAGATGGCTGCCTGGGCAGGGTAGCCATCCGTGATGGTGTGATGTCATTTCCAGGGAAACCCACAAGTGACGTCGCACCTCTCTAAAAAATCACCAGACACTCTGGTGAAACTATAGTTTCTGATGATTCCTAGGGCGCAATCACACACACAATTAGCCGCGCCATCGGCGCAAATGCCGGGTGAATTCAAAGGGCGCAATAAGACGCCAGCGTCCGGGAAGCACCCTAAACCCATTGGCAACCCATTTTGCTCTGCGGCAGGAGCGAAGTAAAAAGACACCAGGGGACGTCCGGAAGCAAACGGGTTGCGACGGGCCACGGACAGACTTTCCCCTGTCTGATCGCTCCAGCGCGCTCTCATGGTGTCGGGACGGTCGGATCGGGCCATCCCAACTCCGTGCCGTTGTTTACCCCCCCCCCCTACCAGATGGTTGGTGCACAAGGACACAGGGAAGGAGACAGTCCTTCAAATATGTGGGTCCCGGGTCACAAAGAGCTTTCAAGGTCATAACCAGCACACTGAACTGAAGAAGAAAAAGAAGAAGAAGAGACTGGATTTCTACCCCGCCCTTCACTCGGAGTCTCTGAGCGGCTTACAAACTCCTTTTCCTCCCCCTCCCCACAGCAGACACCCTGTGAGGTGGGTGGGGCTGAGAGAGTTCTGACGGAAACGGCTCTTTTTCAAGGACAGCTGTGCCAGAGCTTGTGACCGACCCAAGGTCACATCAGCAGGTGCAAGTAGAGGAGTGGGGAATCAAACCCGGTTCTCCCAGATTAGAGTCCGCACACTTAACCACTACACCAAACTGAACTCGGAAACACGCTGGCAACCAACGTAGCTGTTTCAAAAGGGACAGCAGTTGTTTCCAGTGGCTGGCCCCTGACGATAGTCAGGCTGCCGCATTCTGGACCAGTTGTAGTTTCCGGGCTGTCTTCAAAGGAAACCCCACGTAGAGGGTGTTGCAGTAATCTAGTCGTGAGGTTACAGAAGTACGGATCAGTGCACAATTAGGCAGCCCAAGCCATTGAGAACATAAGAACATAAAACACGCCAGTGTTGGATCAGGCCAGTGGCCCGTCCAGTCCAACACTCTTGTGTCACACAGTGGCCAACAATACCAGGGGCCATCAGGAGGTCCAGCAGTGGGGCCGGAACACTAGAAGCCCTCCCACTGTTGACCCCACTCACCCAAGCACCAAGAAGACAGAGCATCACTTGCCCCAGACATAAGAACATAAGAGAAGCCAATACTGGATCAGGCAAATGGCCCCTCCAGTCCAACACTCTGTGTCACACAGTGGCCAAAAATACCAGGGGGCCATCAGGAGGTCCAGCAGTGGGGCCAGGACACCAGAAGCCCCTCCCACTGTTGCCCCCCCTCAAGCACCAAGAATACAGAGCATCACTTGCCCCAGACATAAGAACATAAGAGAAGCCAATGCTGGATCAGGCCAATGGCCCATCCAGTCCAACACTCTGTGTCACACAGTGGCCAAAAATACCAGGGGCCGTCAGGAGGTCCAGCAGTGGGGCCAGGACACCAGAAGCCCCTCCCACTGTTGCCCCCCCTCAAGCACCAAGAATACACAACATCACCTGCCCCAGACTGAGAGTCCCTATCTATACCTTGTGGGCTAATAGATTGACTTCTGCTCCACATGCTTATCTCATTCCCTCCTGAAGCCGTCCATGCTTGTAGCATTCAAACTGTCTGCCTATTTCCAGAGGAGAAACAAAACGCAAACACGCGCGAGCTGTACGGTAGCTCGCTCTCTCCCCGCCACTCTTGATTCCGTGAGGAGCCAGCGGAGGCTCCCGGCCCAGTGGCGTACGTACCTGCCCTCGTAGTCCTCGAGGAGTTGCCGGTGCCGCTCTTCTCTCTCTGCCAGGTCAGCCTTAAATTGAGCCAGCTGGCCGGACAGCTCTTTCTCGTGGTGGCTGCCTAGATCCAGCAGCTGCTTCCTGCCGGGGGAGAGAGGCGGGAGAGAGGAGACCCGAGAAGCCGCACTTAAGAACATAAGAGACGCCAATGTTGGATCAGGCCAGTGGCCCATCTAGTCCAACACTCTGTGTCACACAGTGGCCAAAAATACCAGGGGCCCTCAGGAGGTCCGTTAGTGGGCCCAGGACGCTGGAAGCCCTCCCACTGTTGACCCCACCCAAGCACCAAGAAGACAGAGCATCACTTGCCCCAGAGCCCTTATCTATACCTTGTGGCTAAGAGCCACTGATGGACCTCCATATGCTTATCTAATTCCCTCTTGAAGCCGTCCATGCTTGTAGCCGCCACCACCTCCTGTGGCAGTGAATTCCACGTGTTAATCGCTCTTTGGGTGAAGAAGGACTTCCTTTTATCTGTTCTAACCCGACTGCTCAGCAATTTCATGGAGTGCCCAGGAGTTCTTGTATTGTGGGAAAGGGAGAAAAGTGCCTCTTTCTCGACCTGCTCTATCCCATGCATAACCTTGTAAACCTCGATCATGTCACCCCTCAGCCATCGTTTCTCCAAGCCAAAGAGCCCCAAGCGCTTTACCCTTTCTTCACAGGGAAAGCGTTCCAACCCTTTTCTCATTCTAGTTGCCCTTTTCTGCACTTTTTCCAATGCTATAATATCCTTTCTGAGGTGTGGTGACCAGAACTGCACAGATAAGAAGTTGGACTCCAGTGCAGGAAATATACATGGCGGCTGTTGTAAGCAAGTTCCTAGTCCTTGTCGATGCAGAGACAACCTTGGAAAACAGGCCAGAAACCCCTGGCCAAAAGGGGGGAGGGAGCAGAGAGGCTTATTTATTTATTTATTTAGACTGATACCCTGCCCTCCCAGCCAAGGCCGGGCTGAGCCGGATCTCCAGGAGAAAGTGAGAGGAATTTGACAGCCAAGGCATCAAAAAGAATGGGAAGAGAGCCAAAGTCCAAAAGATCTGGGGAGAAACCCAGAGCCAGATGGGGCAGAGAGCCCTGGGAGGTGGAGTCGACTGCAGACAGGGGCCGCCCAGGACCCAGAGGTCCCCACCACACACACCTGTGCTGCTCCCGCATGGCGCTCATCTGGCGCAGGCTCTCCTCGTGAACCTCCGCTAGCCGCTCTGTCACCTGCTGTTCCAACACCACCTTCATCTCCGACTCCAGCTTTACCTTCTGGGACTCATAGCGGGCCTGGCGGGAGGAAGAAGAAGAAGAAGAGATTGGAGTTATACCCCACCCTTCACTACCCAAAGGAGTCTCAGAGCGGCTTACAAACTCCTTTCCCTTCCCCTCCCCACAACAGACACCCTGTGAGGTCGGTGGGGCTGAGAGAGCTCTGACAGAAACTGCTCTTTTTTCAAGAACAGCTCTTATCAGAACTACGGCTTGCCCAAGGACATCCAGCCAGGTGCAAGTGGAGGAGTGGGGAATCAAACCCGGTCCTCCCAGATTAGAGTCCGCGCACTTAAACCACTACACCAAACATCCCCCCATACACACTCCCCGCGCTCACCTTGACCAAGCTCATCTCCATCTTCAGACTGTCCCGCTCTCGGCGCATGGCTTCCAGTTCGCTCTCCAAGCCCTGTACTTCTGTCTGCACTGAAGCCAGAACGCGCTGGGCATCGGCTGCCTTCTGGGCCTCTCGATGGGCAGCTGCCTAGACGGGAGTGGGGAAGAAGGCGCGTGAGACGCAGCCAGGCACCTACAGTTCCTGGGCCAAAACAGGGGATGAGAACGTACCAACTGCAGGGTGAAACTGAGGGGATCTCAGGAGGAAAAGAAAGAGTGATGACTGCACGAGGACCAGCTAAAAGCTCACAACGTTGGCTAGAATTTGGATTGAATTCCTCTGTACGCATCCTGCAATTGCCACAGCAAATGCATCACAATATGAAACTCATATAGAGAAATACTATTTGAACAAATATCCAACCCAACTCGCATGCAGTGGAATGCTTGCCTGAGAAGGTTCTTTGTACCCCAACGGGTCATAGTTGCCAGCCTCCAGGTGAGGCCTGGAGATCTACCAGAATTACAACTGAACTCCAGCCAATAAAGATCAAAGATTCACCCAAAGAGTAATTAACACGTGGAATTCACTGCTGCAGAAGGGGTGATGGCTACAAGCATAAGACAATGTTTTATTGTTGCAATATCTATTGCCTGTTAGCCGCCCTAAGCCCTACAGGGGAGGGCGGGATATAAGTTTGATTAATAAATAAATAAATAAATAAATAAGAGGGGACTGGAAAAGTATATGGAGCAGAGGCCGATCAGTGGCTAATAGCCACAAGGTATAGCTGGAACACTCTGTCTGGGGCAGGGATGCTCTGTCTTCTTGGTGCTTGGGGGGCAAGAGTGGGAGGGCTTCTAGAGTTCTGGCCCTGCTGGTGGACCTCCTGATGGCCCCTGGGTTTTGGCCCCTGTGTGACACAGAGTGTTGGACTGGATGGGCCATTGGCCTGATCCAACATGGCTTCTCTTATATTCTTATGTCTGGGGCAAGGGATGCTCTGTCTTCTTGGTGCTTGGGGGGGCAACAGTGGGAGGGCTTCTGGAGTTCTGGCCCTGCTGACAGACCTCCTGATGGCCCCTGGGTGTTGGCCACCGTGTGACATAGAGTGATGGACCAGATGGGCCATTGGCCTGACCCAACATTGGCTTCTCTTATGTACTGTTCCCCTGGGGAAAATGGCGACTTTGGAAGGGTGGGTTCTATGGCATGGCACCCTGCTGAAGTTCCTCCCCTCCACAGACCCCACTTTCCCCCAACACCACCCCCGAGTCTCCAGGAATTTCAGACCCGGAGCTGGCAACCCTAAAAGGGTAAGCAACTGGTGCGGGAGCATCTAATCAGGATCAGGCTCGGAGAGGTATGCAGAAGGGAAGACTTTGCCAGGTGTGGCTTTTTGCATCAAAGCGCACCAAGGATGGGGAAAGCGGCCCTCGACTGAGGCTCCAGAGGGACGACAGGTGGAGGAAAACAGCTACAAGAAACACGGCATAACTGACGGGAGCCCAAAACAGGTACCGCTTCCCACTTACCCTCCCGGAGAGGGACTGTTTCCAAACTAGCATTGTCTGCAGCCAGCTGTGCCCGGATTCCCCCCCTTAACTTACTCCTAGGTAATTCAAGCTGACCCAGGACAGAGTGAAGTGGATTCTCTCACTTCAGGGCATTCGCGCAGCAGTTTCCTCATGTGGCGCAATCCTAAAGCCTTTACAGTTCAAGCTGCCACCTCCTTTCCTAACTGAGGCTCCAGCGCTTTGAAAAGTTACACAAGGGTGAAAAATCCAACAGGGGCAGCTTTGGCAGAGGTGCTGCACTTGTCGAATTCTTCCACCTGGGGCACAATTAAAGGTATGGGCGCCTGGGGACTAAGGTTGCCGGGAGAGGCCCCTCCACCAATCAAAGAAGCTCATTTGGTGAGACAGGGCCTTTTCAGTGGCGGCCCCACAATTATGGAACAACCTCCCCAGGGAGGTACACGTGGCCCCCTCTCTTCCAGTCTTTAGGAGGCAGTGGAAGATGGCTTAATTTAGGACTGTGCTTGATGAAAACCATCTTAAATTGTGATTTTTGAATAAACGTGTTTATGGATTTCTGTGTACTCTATTTTACATATATCATTTATACTGTAAGGAAGAGAGGCGGCTAGTAGATGTTATAAATCGATAAAATAAATGGATTCGTTGCTGTAGATTTTCCGGGCTGTGTGGCCGTGGTCTTGGCATTGTAGAACCTGACGTTTCGCCAGGAACTGTGGCAACAAAACAAATAGAATTGGATAAGAACCATTTGTGTCTGGGGGGGGGGGCTTTTCCCACTGGCTGGCCCCACCTCCATTCACAACCCTCTCCTGACAATCGGCCATCTGGACCCCCTTTATTATTCCCCTGTGAGACCAAGGGGGAGGGGGGCAAACCAGAAGGCCCTGCTGCCTGTGCTCCCGCCCCCGCCCCGGGAACGGCCTCCTAGAAAAGAGTATCACACCCACCAGCAAGCCCGTTCAAGGAGGCAGAGCGGCAGATAACACAATCAGAGCCAGGTCAAGCCAACCTTTCAACAGCTGCAGCAGCTGCTTCCCAAACAAGCTGGAATCTCGGGAGCTCCCTCCGTAGCCTGCAGCAACTTATGCAGAGTCTAAAACAGTGATGGCGAACCTTTTAGAGACCGGGTGCCCAAACTGCGACCCAAAACCCACTTATTTATCGCAAACTGCCAACACGGCCATTTAACCTGAATACCGAGGTTGTACTTTAGAAAAAAACAACTTATACATTAACATAAGATGATCCAAACAAAGTAAGGAAAGCAATCCCAAAGGCTTTCATTGACTTAAAATTATTTGGCAGAGAATTTGACACTTTATGATGGTCTGGGCCTGGCTGGGGCGATGTTACCCGTGCCCACTGAGAGGGCTCTGAGTGCCACCTCTGGCACCTGGGCCATAGGTTCGCCACCACTGGTCTAAAAGAACATACAAGTCTTTAAAGACTCCTGCCCAGTGCTGATGCCATTCCCACTGCGACTGCTTCACAGATTGCACACGTTTCCCGTGCCGGTCCATAAGACTCTGAACCCAGACTGAGAAGGCGGCCTGGATTCATCAGTCCCAGCATCAGGAGAGGAACAAAAGAAGAGGCTCAAACGAGGGGCTCTACCTTCTCTGGCTTTATTATCGGCTTTATTATTAATTTAATCCATACCTACCTTTCTCCCTGAGAGTCAAGGCAGGGTACAAAAGGAATTCAATCGGAGTGCAAAGACCTCCACGCAACGATACAATAGGACCAGTGTTCCCTCTAAGCCGAGTTAGCGTGAGCCAGCTCACAGTTTTCTAGCCTCCGGCTCACACATTTTTGCCTTGGCTCAGGGAGGAGGGCTCCGGAGCAAACTAAGTGATGCAGTAGCCCAATCGCTCGCTCACAACTTTAGAAGAAGAAGAGATTGGATTTATACCCCAGCCCTTCACTACCCAAAGGTGTCTCAGAGCGGCTCAGAGCCAGTTTGGTGTAGTGGTTAAGTGTGCGGACTCTGATCTGGGAGAACCGGGTTTGATTCCCCACTCCTCCACTTGCACCTGCTGATGTAACCTTGGGTCAGTCACAAGCTCTGGCACAGCTGTCCTTGAAAAAGAGCAGTTTCTGTCAGAGCTCTCTCAGCCCCACCCACCTCATAGGGTGTCTGCTGTGGGGAAGGGAAGGGAAAGGAGTTTGTAAGCCGCTCTGAGACTCCCTTGGGTAGTGAAGGGCGGGGTATAAATCCAATCTCCTCCTCCTCTTTCGTAACACACCCTTTTTTCCATGGCATTCACACATGTAACCCGGATCAGAAGACTCGGCTTAGCCGTTAAAGGGCTCTGGTTTCCTTTAAGCACCTTCTGGAAAACTTCCAGGAAGCGGCTTGAAGCAAGGTGGGAGAAGAGAGAGGCAGAGAAGCCGAGGAACCAGACGGCGTAAGCTGGGGAGGGTGGGCGATGACCTCCGCGGGGTGCCGAAGCCCACCTCCACAGCCGCCGCCACGCCTGAGGCTACCAGGTACAGCTCCAGCACATCTTAAGCTACCACTGGTATCACTGAGGACTAGGAACCTTAGAAAACGAAAGCTGGAGCAAGGGCTACCTAGAACAGGAAAGGGAGGGGGCATACTGGGTGCACTTCCTCAACAGACTGCACGGTTCATTCAGATCAGGGTTCACGTAGGATGCCACGCACAGGCATTTCCTAACTCTGAGATCAGACCTGGACACGGCTGGTTTTTGTCTCTGCCCCCAGAGCTCTGAGCCCTGGGAGGACACCGCTCACCAGTCTGACGAAGGGAGCGTTAACTTTCAGAAGTTCAATACCCTGAAACTCTTGTCCGTTTCTAAGGTGCTTCTGGACTCGGATCTTGTTGTTTTGCTGCAGACCAACCCCGCTGCCCGCCGAGACTCACCTGCCTGAACTTCTGCTCCCTGGTCTCCCCGTCTGCCCTGCCGATCAGCTGCAGCTCTTCCCACACCAGGGAACCCATGGCTCAGGAGGCCCACCCTGCCCTCCTGCAAGGGGGTAAGAGGCTGCAGCTGCAGGGCGGGGCCAGCATCAGCCCCGCCCAGGAGAGGCCACACCCCTGCAAGGCAACGGTGAGCTTTTGCTGGCCTTGGCACTGGGATACTCAAGCGAAAGCATGGAGGCAGGGACTGCCGGCAGAAAGGGCATTCTTCAGCACACGGAGATTTCAAATACATCAGTCTGCGCCGCTTCTGTTCAGAGACCAGCCACAGAACAGAAGAAGAGGAGGAGGAGGAGGAGGAGGAGGAGATTGGATGCATACCCTGCCCTTCACTCGGAGTCTCAGAGCGGCTTAGAAACTCCTTCCCCTTCCCCTCCCCACAACAGACACCCCGTGAGGTAGGTGGGGCTGAGAGAGCTTTCTCGAGAACTGCTTGTGAGAGAACAGCTCTGACAGAACTGTGGCTTGCCCACAGGGTGTCTGTTGTGGGGAGGGGAAGGGAAAAGGAGTTTGTAAACCACTTTGAGTGAAGGGCGGGGCATAAATCCAATCTGCTCCTCTTCTTCACTCCTCCACTTGCAGCTGCAAGTGGAGGAGTGAAGAAGAGATTGGATTTATGCCCCACCCTTCACTACCCGAAGGAGTCTCAAAGAGGCTTACAATCTCCTTTCCCTTCCCCTCCCCACAACAGACACCCTGTGAGGTAGGTGGGGCTGAGAGAGCTCTGACAGAAACTGCTCTTTCAAGGAGAGCTGTGACAGAACTATGGCTTGCCCAAGGTCATCCAGCAGCTGCAAGTGGAAGAGTGAAGAAGAAGAAGAAGAAGAGATTGGATTCATGCCCCACCCTTCACTACCCGAAGATGTCTCAGAGCGGCTTACAAACTCCTTTCCCTTCCCCTCCCCACAACAGACACCCTGTGAGGGAGGCGGGGCTGAGAGAGCCCTTTCCTGGACTGCTCTTGAGAGAGCAGCTCTGACAGAACTTATGACTGACCTAAAGTCACACCAGCAGGTGCAAGTGGAGGAGTGGGGAATCAAACCCCAGTTCTCCCAGATCAGAGTCCACGCACTTAACCACTACACCAAACCACTACACCAAACCACACCACGCACTTAACCACTACACCAAATAAATACAACAGCTGTGACTGAAGCTTGCCGAAACGGACTGCGCTTGAACTCCTCTACAATAAGAGTCAAGTGCAGGGGTCAAAGGGCAGAGGGGGTTCCTCCTCTGGAGCGACCCAGTCCAGCAGGGCGGGGTCTGCCAGCTCACCTTCTCCTTGTCCAGCTGGGCGCGGCTCTCCTCCTGCAGGGCCTGGCTCTGCTGCTCCAGCTGCCTCTCGCGCTGGGCCCAGCTCCGCTGCTGCTCCTCCAGCGTGGCCCGCAGTGCCTCATGCTGCCGCCGTTCCAGGCCCCAGTCCGCCTCCAGGCTGCGCGCCCGCTGACCCTCGGCCTCCAGGCTACGGAACAGAGAGGCCTTCTCCTCCTCCTGCCCGGGGAAGGGGGAGGGGACGAGCGCGGTCAGTTGCAAACTGAGAACCACCCAGCCCGATGCCAGCCCTCCCCAAGCAGGGACTGAAGGCCAACGGCCATGGCGAGTGCTTGCTCTCCACACCGGGCAGTTCGGAGGCACCTTAGTGACTGACTGACACATTGTGGCCATAAGCCTTTCTGAGCCGGAGCCCGTTTTGTGGGCGATGTGAAGTATTGCCCTCTGTTGGCATATATGCATAGGTACCCAGAGGAGTGGCGGGAGAGGGGTTGTCAGGAGGGACAAGGTGTCTTTACCTTCCTAGGTATGGCACCGCTGAAAACAAGCTCCATGCATGAGGAAAGCAATTAGATGGGTATGGGCCCACAACCAACCAGTAGTAAACCTGTAGTAAACCTGTAGTAAACTAGTAGTGAACTTTCTCAGCTGGTGGCGAAGCTCATTGAAAAGTATGAATACACCCAACAGAGGAACAATGGTTTTCTGCAGTGAGCCAGCAGCTCCCGGTCTCTGTTGAGCCCCAGGCTCTTAATGTTTGTACAGCTGCCAGCGGCCCATTCATTTGCCGGCACTCCGCCCGCAGTGCTCCCTGCAGCATGCCCTGTGCCTCTGGGGAAAGGACTGCAGGCAGCTGTGGGCACGGGGCGTGGGAGGGCTGGTGAGCAGACAAGGGAAGGACGCACAAGCAGCTGGGAGACACACAAGTGGTGGGAAGGGAAGGAGGGCACGAAGCGCCTGATGGTGGGCAGGGGAGGGGAAGGGGGCACTGGGAGCTCTCTGCCCAGGCCGCCCCCCCCCAAAAAAAACCTTGAACAGGCTTGGTGCTGTGCCCTTGAAAACCAAAGATTCCTTTGCCACCAAGAAACCTCTCCTTGGATTTTAAATATTCCTTCACCTGCCCCAAATTGGCTCTCAGTATGGCTTATGGGAGCTCAAAAATAGCCACAAGAAGGACACAATTAAAATAGGGAAGAACATAAACCACAGGAGGTGGTGGCAGCTACAAGCATGGACGGCTTCAAGAGGGAATTAGATAAGCACATGGAGCAGAGGTCCATCAGTGGCTATTAGCCACAAGGTACAGATGGGAACTCACAGGCTGGGGCAAGGGATGCTCTGTATTCTTGGTGCTGGGGGGGGGGCCAAACAGTGGGAGGGCTTCTGGAGTTCTGGCCCCACTGCTGGACCTCCTGATGGCCCCTGGTGTTTTTGGCCACTGTGTGACAGAGTGTTGGACTAGATGGGCCATTGGCCTGATCCAGCATTGGCTTCTCTTATGTTCTTACAAACCTAAGCAGCACTAAAAGCAGCAAAATCATCCTCGAGGCATAATTTTTCATTAGACAGGAGCACAAGAGCAACAAAAAGCAGAAGGTCAGGGGTGGGGAGGGGAGGGGCATAAAAGAAAAACCACCAGCAAAACGCTTGGGGAAACAGATATCCTTTCCCCCAGCTCTGAACTGTTAGGAGATTGGCTGGGGGGGAGCGTTCCGCATTGGGTATGCCACAACCAAAAAGGCCACGCTCCACAGCCGAGAAAAGAGGGAGGCAGACAAAGGCCTCCGAGAAAGATCTCAACGGACAGGCTGGGACACGCTCTCCAACCAGGCCTGGTGTCGATGTACCCTAAGGTGGGGCAGGTGCCAAGGCCCAGGTCTTCCAGTGGGGCCCACTGCCACCACCACCCCCGTTCACCTCCCCGGCTGCCCATCACCTTGTTTGTTGTGAGCCCTCCCACCACACACATTTACGGCTGCATAGCCTCCCCCAGCACAGTGGAAGAGCATCGGGAGCAATGGAGAATGGCCAAGTGGGTGGGGGACAGAGGCATGGGTGGGCCGCATGGGAGGAGACTGTAGACAGCTGGGCAGGGAGGTGTAAGTGGGGAGGTTAGTCAGGGAGCAGGGCTCCAGGCACATCTGCCCAGGGCCCATCAGAACCGGGAAGCAGCCCAGTCTCCAACTGCCACATTCACTCACGCTGGGAGTTTCCAGGAGCAGGTGTGTGTGTGTGGGGGGGGTGTCTCTTACCAGCATCTCCTTCTCCTGGCGACACAGGCTGGCTGCTTGCTGCTCCCGACTGAGGGCGGACAAGACTTCTTCAAGGCGCCCTTCGGTCTCCTGGATTTTCTAGAGGAGGAGGAGGAAAAGAATTAGCTTGAAGCGGTCCCTGAGTTTTCCCTGCACTGCTGTATAGCTGCCTCCCCCTTTGAAGCAACCGAAAGCCACGGGCCTCATAGCTTCAGGTGGGCGGCTGTGTTGGGTCTGAAGCAGCAGGACAAAGTTGGGGTGACACCGTGAAGACTATTAGCTATTAGCCCCGTACACACGAAAGCTCAGACCAGGAATAAAACATGGTTGGTCTTAAAGGTGCCACCGGACTCCAACTTTGTTGGACGAATAGCTATGGACCAGCTGCCCTGGCGTCGGTTGGCAGGGGAGGGCCTCCCTCCCAGCTCCCCACCACCCCCACCCCCGACCCACACAGACCTCGTGCCCGAGCCTGACCTCTTTGTGCCTCCCCAGCGCCTGAGCCGCAGCCTCCTTCTCAGTTTGCAGCCTTCGGAGGGTCTCTGTCCGCTCGCCCTCGTGCCGGTTCCAGCCTTCCACCACCTTGGCCAGGGTCTGTGGGACAGAGAAACGCTGGCTCACCCAGGTACCCCCTGCAAGGCCCTACCAGAAAAGGCGAGGCGGATCTGGTGCAGGATTCACACACACACACACCGGCCACCTTCGCAGAGACCCCCAGCTCGCAGGAGGAGACGAAGGCCTGCGCTGATGTCCAGTGTTCCCTCTAAGCTGCTTTAGTGTAAGCTAGCTCACAGTTTTTTAGCCTCCGGCTCACACATTTTTGTCTTAGCTCAGTAAGGATGGCTTTAGAGCAAATTAATTTATGTAATACCCAAATCACTTGCTCACAACTTTAATGCCAGTAGCTCATAAAGTAAAATTTTTGCTCACAAGACTCCACAGCTTAGAGGGAACATTGGTTGGGTCAGTTTCTCTCTTCTACAAGCCTGTTCAAGAAGACCATGACAAAACTCGTGCACGTGAAGGGAGTAACGATCAGAGTGCTGGACTAGGAAAGGGGAGGCCTGCGTCCAAATCCCCGCTTGCCACCTTGGGTACCTTCGAAACAGTCATTCTCTCTCAGTCTAACCTACCTCGCAGGGTTGTTGGGAGGATAAAATGGGAACAGAACCATCTATTCCGCCCCAAGCTCCTTAGAGAAGAGGTGTTGAACTCAGTTGTTACGAGGGCCAGATCTCACATAAATGTCACGTTGTCGGGCCAAACCAGTTGTGCCGTAAAATGTAATTGGCAGGTACCGGAGATATAAACTGTAAGGGCAGCAGCTAGGAAGCTCCAGGTTGTTGTCACCTCACTGCAAGCCCTCATGTGCTGGGAGGGGGGGGGTGCAAAGGAAAACCCGCCTGGGCGGACTGGACAACCAACAGCGCAGCACTGGGCAGACACTCCTACGCTGCTTGGCTGGTGCAGACAAAAGTTGTTCCGCCCTGCTGAAGCCACAATCAGGGTGGCTCCGCCCACTCCCCCCCCCCAGCAGTCTCCTGTTCCCTCCCTTACACTAGATCAGGGGTGTCGAACTCATTTGTTATAAGGGCTGGATCTGACATAAATGAGACCTTGTTGGGCCGGGCCATGTGTGTGTCATAAAATGTAATGCCAGGTAGCGGAGATATAAACTTTATAAAGGGCACAAACACAAAGGTTTATTTTTTTAACTTAAAATAAAAACATGCTTAAAACATTAGCACTCTTGCAATATTTTGTTTATTTAACAGTGTCTGATAACTGACACCTCTTGCACTGAATTATTGCATCAAAATTTCTGTGCTGTTGCAATCTTGACTCTGCTGTTCAGGTGTGTCTCTGTAAGCTGCAAAACTACGATGACACAGCAGCAGCAGAACTGGAAGAAGAAGCAGAAGACAGACAGTCCCACTGCGGGCCTGATAGAAGCCCTCCGGGGGCCTGATCCAGCCCCCGGGCCGCATGTTTGACACCCGTGTACTAGATGCTTGTGGCCTGCATAAAAGCCCTGGACGGGCCGGATCCCGCCCCCCAGCCTTACGTTTGACACCCCTGCCTTAGAGGAACATAACGGAGACATTAGATAAGCTAACGGGGAAAGAAGCAGATCTTTCTGCTCCCGGCTCAGGCCGTGTCCTCCTCCTGCACCCTGCTCTGCTCCCTGCCTGTCGCCTCATCGGTCTCTTGACTTGATCACAGGATCTCTTCTACAAAGCAGTCTGGGACTGGCCTCGCCTCCGTTTCATTCCCAGGGAGGCTGTCGACAGACAGGCGCTTTCCTCTGGTACACGGAGGTGAGCAGAGCGCTGACCACCACCCCTCCACAAATAAATAGGGTTTTCAAGGACAGAGACAGACAGAGGTGGCTTGCCATGGCCTGCCTCTGCGTAGCAACCCTGGACTTCCGCGGTGGTCTCCCATCTAAGCACTCACCAGGTCTGGACCTTCTTAGCTTCTCAGAACTGACCAAATCAGAGTCACCCGGACCACTCCGGTCAGGGCAGGGCACTTTCACAGCCTACGAATTCAACTGGCCAATGCGGTTGGGGCCGGGAAGCCCTGGAGATCCGGCTTCAGAGGCACTTCTGGCGGGCGTTGTGTGGAACGCAGAGGCGAGCTCCTCCTTTGGGGCAGCTCCAGGCAGCCCGACGGGGGTTCTGCGGGGCAGGCCACGGAAGGCGCCACAACTCGGAGGGTGGGTCGAGGGCCCGACTGGCTCTCGTCAGCGGCTGCCGCCTGACCTCTGGCTCCCTCCGCCCCCGCCCTCCTCCTGCTATTCCCAGCCCCGCCCCTTCCCCTCTCTGCACGCGCCCTCCCCCATGCCCAGCCTCACTTTGTCTAGCTGCTCGATCATGCCGTCTTTCTTCTTGTCGGCTGAGATGGCGACGGCCAGCTGCTGCTGTAACTCCAGGAGGCGGTTCTGCAAGGCTTGGATGTGCTGCTCACAGTGCTGGGAGAGGGTGGGAAGAAGAAGAAAAAGAAGAAGAAAGAAGAAGAAAGAAGACGAAGAAAGAAGAAAGAAGAAGAAAGAAGAAAGAAGAAGAAGAAGAAAGAAGAAGAAAGAAGAAGAAGAAAGAAGAAGAAAGAAGAAGAAAGAAGAAGAAAGAAAGAAGAAAGAAGAAGAAGAGGAGGAGGAGGAGGAGGAGGAAGGAGCAGAGGAGGAAGGAGAAGAGGAGGAAGGAGGAGAAGAGGAAGGAGAAGGAGAGGAAGAGGAAGGAGAGGAGGAGGAGGAGATTGGATTTATATCCCGCCCTTCACTACCCAAAGGTGTCTCAGAGTGGCTCACAAACTCCTTTCCCTTCCCCTCCCCACAACAGACACCCTGAGAGGTAGGTGGGGCTGAGAGAGCGCTGACAGAAACTGCTCTTTTTTTCAAGAACAGCGCTTGTCAGAATTACGGGTCATCCAGCAGCTGCAAGTAGAGAAGTGGGGACTCAAACCTGGTTCTCCCAGATTAGAGTCCGCGCACTTAACCACGACACTAAACTGGCTCTCTGTGTGTTAAAGAAGAAGAAGAAGAAGAGATTGGATTTATACCCCACCCTTCACTACCCAAGGGAGTCTCAGAGCGGCTCACAACCTCCTTTCCCTTCCCCTCCCCACAACAGACACCCTGTGAGGTAGGTGGGGCTGAGAGAGCTCTTGATAGAAACTGCTCTTTTTCAAGAATAGCTGTGCCAGAACTATGGCTTGCCCAAGGCCATCCAGCAGGTGCAAGTGGACGAGTGGAGAATCAAACCTGGTTCTCCCAAATTAGAGTCCGTGCACTTAACCACGACACCAAACTGGCCTAAAGAGTCAGTTGCGGGAGAAAGATGAGAGGGAGTGTGTGTGCAGGGGACTTTAGAGGGGCGGGCGTGAGAAGTTAACATCCGTGGGAGCGGAGGTTGGGTTCTATGCCAGACGCTTGCGTTCACGCTGTACGGATTACGACGGAGGGCATGCCTTACTTCGGCTCTCTTTGCTCGTTCTTTAAGCACAGGAAACTTCCTTGACGGGAAGGATCAGGGCCAGCGATAACGGCGTTCACCGATTCTTGGAGAGCAAGGCGATCCTGCACCTTAACGACTTGAGGGCTTTTTTTTTTTTTAAGGGTGAAAGGTTGCCACAAGATTCACACACACCATGCCCCCGAGGGGAGGTGCTGTGGCTCAGTGGCAGAGCCTCTGCCCACCATGCAGAAGGTCCCCAGTTCGATCCCCGGCATCTCCAGTGGAAAGGACCAGGCCTTAGCTGATGGGAAAGACCGCTGCCCAAGACCCTGGAGAACTGCAGCCAGTCTGAGTAGATAATACTGACTTTGATGGACCAAAGATGCAATTCTGTATAAGGCAGCTTCATGGGACGATGGCTGTGACTCAGTGGCAGAGCCTCCGCTCAGCATGCAGAAGCTCCCAGGCAATGCTCCCTCTAAGCTGAGCTAGTGTGAGCTAGCTCAAAAAATTTTAGCCTCCAGCTCACACGTTATTGTCGTAGCTCAGGAAGGATGGGGCTCCAGAGCAAGCTAATTTATGCAGCAGCCAAATCTCTCGCTCACAACTTTGATGCCAGTCGCTCACAAAGTAGGATTTTTGCTCACAAGACTCCACAGCTTAGAGGGAACATTGGACTCCCAGGCAATGCTCCCTCTAAGCTGTGGAGCCCTGTGAGCAAAAATCCTACTTTGTGAACTAGTAGCATCCAAGCTGTGAGCGAGCGATTGGGCTCCCGCATGAATTAGTTTGCTCTGGAGCCACATCCTTCCCGAGCCGAGACAAACGTGTGAGCCGGAGAGGCTAAAAAACTGTGAGCCAGCTCACACTCACTCAGCTTGGAGGGAACCCTGGTCCCAGATCAGGTTGTAAGAAGAAGAAGAAGAAGATATTGGATTTATACCCCGCCCTTCACTTGGAGTCTCAGAGCGGCTTACAAACTCCTCTCCCTTCCCCTCCCCACAACAGGCACCCTGTGAGGTGGGTGGGGCTGAGAGAACTCTGACACAAACTGCTCTTTTTCAAGGACAGCTGTGCCAGAGCTTGTGACTGATCCAAGGTCACATCAGCAGGTGCAAGTGGAGGAGTGGGGAATCAAACCCGGTTCTCCCAGATTAGAGTCCGCGCACTTAACCACTACACCAAACTGGCTCTCTGAAAGAGATGTGAAGGACCTCTGCCCGAGACCCTGGGAAGCTGCTGCCAGTCTAAGTAGATGACACTGACTTTGATGGATCCGATTCAGTAGGAGGCAGCTCATTCTACAATCCTCTTAGGAACACTCTCCCACATGCGATCATTTCATGGTGGCCACAACCCCCCAAAAGAAGTTGCTTTTCACTTCCGGGACTCGCTTGCAGTTTTACAGGAGGCCGTTTTACCCGGCAACAGCTGGTGCGTAAGGCTCCCCCCACCCACAGTGCATCTTCTGCAAAAACCACACCCTTTGTAAACTGACAGTGTTCATACAGGCTAGGTGTGGCTTGCAGCCCCCTCCCCCCCGGTCTGTTTCCAGGGCCACAGCTCAAGCCTAGGGCTTTAGAACAAGACATCATTTGAGCATGTCAAATGTGCTTGGAGCAAGGCTCCTTTGGTCAGAAAACACAACTTCCGGGCAGGATAAATTTTGTGCTTTGCATGAAGAATGCTGCAGGAGATGGGTGAGGAGGTGGCACTCCATCTCAGCTCTCCCCAGAGAGCCGATGTTTGCGTCTCCAGTTCCACAGGTACTTCCACCCACAGGGAAGGAGACTTTCTGGATCACCGCGAGGGCCAGAAAGCTTCCTTTGGGCTCCCAGCGGCACCTGGGCTGGGGAAGGCAGGCTGCGTTCTAATAGGCTTATGGAGCTAAATGGAGCTTTGGGAAGGAGCCGGCCAGCCTTCCACCCACCCTGGCAAGCGGCTTAAAGCCACGCAAGGGGCTCGGCCGCAGCTCCCGCAAGGTCAGCCCTGTTGCAGCAGCACATGGGTCGCAACGCAGCCCGCTAGCGCCTCCCTGGAGGAAGTCGCTCCTTGTCTGTGCAACACGGCCTCTCGGCTACCTTCTAGGGCAGGGGTCTCCAACGCGGTGCCCACCGAGTGATTTTAGAAGCGGAGCAGGGCCAGCATGGGGCACGTGCCCAACAGGGCTTCTGACTGGCCACTGAAGACAGAAGTAGCTACACAGATTAAAAGAATGTTGTTTCAGCAGCAGTTGCCACCACTTCATGAAATTGCTGAGCAGTCGGGTTAGAAGGGATAAAAGGAAGTCCTTCTTCACCCAAAGAGTGATTTAACACTTGGAATTCACTGCCACAGGAAGTGGTGGTGGCTACAAGCATGGACGGCTTCAAAAGTGGCTATTAGCCACAAGGTATAGATAGGGGCTCTGGGGCAATGGATGCTCTGCCATCTTGGTGCTTGGGGGGGGGGGTCAACAGTGGGAGGGCTCCTAGTGTCCTGGCCCCACTGGTGGACCTCCTGATGGCACTGGTATTTCTGGCCACTGTGTGACACAGAGTGTTGGACTGGATGGGCCTTTGGCCTGATCCAACATTGGCATCTCTTATGTTCTTACGGTGTTCGTTTTATTCTCCCTCACGCCTCTCTCCCAGCGTATTTTTTTTTAAATTACACCCCTTCTCCCCTGCCTTTGGGCTCCCTGTATGTGTTTGGCTCCGCCTTCACCTGCCGCCATTTTGGGGCAGTGCTCACCAGCCGGTGTCAGAATTCCAAAGGCGCCCCCAGGCTCGAAAAGGCACGGGACCCCCGTTCCAGGAGATGGCCGTGATGCAACAACAAAGAGGGGAAACTGGGTCGCCTGGCTCCCAGGGCGCGAGGGTTCTGTCTGCGGGTCTGAAACCAGCCCACTGGCTGAGGAATGTCAGCCCACGCCGGGAAAGAAATCCAAGGGGTTAGGGGAGGTCGCCGAATTGGAATCTGTTCTGCACAGTCAAACACAAAAGCTGCCTTCTACTGAATCGTGTCCATCAAGGTCAGTATTGTCCACTCAGGCCGGCAGGGGCTCTCCAGGGTCTCCAGCAGAGGTCTTTCACATCACCTGCCGCTTGGTCCTTCTAACTGGAGATGCCACCAGGGATTGAACCTGGGACCTTCGGCACACCAAGCAGATGCTTTGCTACTGAGCCACTGTCTCTCTCCTCCCGTGCCACACTTCACCAGCTTCCCTTCGTATCTGACAAGGGAGCTTTGACTCTTGAAAGCTTATACCCCAAAACTCTTGTTGGTTTTGAGGGTGCTACTGGAGTCGAACCTAGCTTCACTAGTCTCAAAATCTGGATGAAAGCAAATGAGGCAGGAAGTAAACAGTGGCTCCCTGGAAAGCTTATGGAAGTGCCTGCTGCAAATTCTCGCTAAAAACCATGGAAGAGGCAGGCCGTGGTCCAAACCTTAACATGCCACCCTTCTCCCACATGAAACAAGATCTTCCCCATCAGATCAGCTGGGAGTCTCCCACCACGTGCGGTAGAGTCCATAGTTACTAGTTGGGACAGAGCCATTTTGACACTGGCATGGAGACCATGGGGGTACCCCTTCAAAGGAAGCTCACTTGGCCCAATCCCTGCTACCCATGGTTCTTTTTCAGATGGTTTTGGGGTTTTTTTTAACCACTGTTAAACTTTAAATTTAGATCTGCTTCGGAACGCCTGCTGAGTTTTCCGTTACTCAGTCCCCGCTTTGTTTTTTTGATGTGTGATTATCTTATTAATTTTAATCGGGCATTAACCTGTATCACGGAAACTTGTTTTGTTATTCTTTATGTGGATCTATTAGCGCCAAAATCAGGATATACATTTTTGAAAAATAAACAGAACGCTAAGATCAATGGCAGAGCTGCTCGGTTCTCCTTTGGCTGGAGAGCACTGCCAGTTTATTCCCTCTGCAGCCTCAAGGGAGGGAGAAACGTGCTTTAAAAGAAGTTTTAGACTCCAGGGCAAAACTGCTGCGTTGAAATTCGCACGCAGATCCGAAGAACTGTCGGCCTGGGGCTCAACAGAGACCGGGAGCTGCTGGCACGCTGCAGAAAACAATCGCTCCTCTGTAAGGTGTATGCATACTTTTCACTGAGCTCTGCCACGAGCCGAGAAGGCCTACTATGAGTTTACTACTAGTTTACTACTGGTTGGTTGTGGGTCTATGCCCATCTAATTGGGTTTCTCATTAATGGATCTTATTTTCATCTATGCTGTACCTAGGAGGGTAAAACGCCTTGTCCCTCGTAACAACCCCTCTTCCACTGCTCCTCTGGATACCTATGTATACACGCCAACAGAGGGTAATGCTTCACATAGCCGACAACACAGGCTCCGGCTCAGAAAGGCTTACGGCCACAATGCATCTGTCTGTCATTAAGGTGCCACCGGACTCTCTGTAGCCCGGATCAGGCATTGAGAGGAGGAGGGTACTGAGATACAGGCCTTGTGCAATCCCATCGTTTTCTTTGGGGACTCCGGTTTAGTTGGTCACTTTGAAGCCAGGTTTCCTGGGTTTCTTCAGTAGCTTTGGAAAGAGACTGCAGAATGTCGGCTATCGTTGCTGGTGACCCCAAACCTTGACCTGTAAACCTTTGCAAAGCCTTCCCTTTTCTGGCATTTAAGGAAAAAGCAAGGCTGTGGAAATGGGATGGGAGCGAAGGGCGCGTCCCACTCGAGGGGCTGGCTTGGCTCTTCCCCTCGGCGGAGATGGGGCCCTGCCCATGACGAAGGCAGCGGGGGGGGGGGGCCACGTGGCAGGGAGGCAGAAAAGCTCATTACAGGCCATGATACCCGGCTAAGCTGAGCAGCTTTGCTGAAAGTCGCAGGTCACATGACGCGCACCCCTCTCCCCCTCCCTTGGCCGCATCGGTCTGTCCTTCAAGAAGCTTTGGCTGCCTAATTCGGAGCCGTAATCCCGGCAACCAGGAAGAGCTCAGGGGGACGAAAACAAGGGAGGGGCAGCTCTGCAGGGCTGGTGCATTTTGAGCAGACGCCAGGCTTCGTGGAGTGTTTTCCCGGGGAAGAGAGCCTCAAGCAGCCAGGCCCGAGGCAGCCACGGGAGAGGAAACAGCAGTGAAGTCCCGGCCTGGCAAGCTTCCCCCCCCCCCGACTCCCTCACACTCCCACAATCCTCTGCAACACTTTTGGGCCGGTCGCGCGGCTGCCTGGCACCTCTCACCTTCCGCCGGGCCTGCTCCTTGTCCAGAGAGTCCTTCAGGAGGTGGGGATTAGCGTAGGACAGAGGCTCGCGGATCTGGACCTGGCGAAGGCTCGTGTAGCGGGGGAACAGGTCCTCGAAGCCCGCCACGGACCTGGGCGGGGAGACTTCTTGCAGGGGCCGGGCACTGCGGCAAACGAGAGCGTGTGAGCAGAGTGCCGGAGACTTCGCCTGCGGTCCCTCCACCCTCCTGCCGCCCCCGTTGTCTGGCTCCCAGGCCATAAATGTGGGGCAGAGACATGGGCCCACCCTACTCCCGCATTTTGGGCAGCATCCAATAGCAGGGCTGGCCCCATTACGGCCTCATCAAGGTCCCTGTTTCGGCCACCTCCCCCCACTCTTCCGCAGCCCGCACGATGATATTTATTTAATCAGAACATTTATATCCCGCTTTTCCTCGAGGATCAAGGCATGTAACAACACTTTCAGTTAGAAACAAGGAAGATTAAATAGCAAACCCCGAATCTCCCCTCCCTGCTTAAAAGATGCTGTCCAATTTAAAAAAAGCTTACACCTCAAAAATCCCGCAGGGTCTCCAAGGTGCTCCTGAACTCAAATCTAGCTGCTTGACTTCAGACCAACACTGCTACCCTGTGAAAATATCTGGCCCGGTAGACACACTTGCCCCTGGCAAGAAACCCTCGCGGGAGGCCAGTTCAGGCCACCGTGGCGCTCTTACTTGAGGAGGGCAGCTGTGCTGTCGCTCTCGAACGAGTCGCTGTCTTTCCGCTCGAAGGTTCCTGTAGACAGGCCGTCCCCTGCAGGCAGAGAAGGGGAATGGCTGTCTGTGGCTTGGGCCTGGCTTTGGGGGACGCAGGGACATGGCTCTCTTCCCCTGCCACTGGGAGATGACGGGCTGCCTGCCACAGAAGCCATGCAGCGTCTAGGACGGCTCTAGAGGGGTGCCAGAGCAGAATCAAGGTTCCCAAACGGACCCTTGGGCCGGAAAGGGCTCTCCCCTGCCTCCCGCACCCAGCAGAGCGGTCTGCTTAGAACAAACCAAGCACTGCGGGGCCGTCAGACTGTTCTGCTACAAGCCCAGTGCTTTATCCCAAGGGGCCTAGAATCTGGCGGGCTTGAAGCTGGGGGGGCGTGGAGCTGCGCACAGGGAAGGGAAAGGGCGCTCAAGCAGAAGGCAGGATTATTCCCACGGCACAGGGGAAACCACCAAAGCTGGTGTTTCAGCGGCGAGAACAGGTGTCGATGCTGCAGCAGGTAATCCCAGGCAAATGACCGGGGGGCGGGGGGACAAAAGAAAACGGCTCGGGCCACCTTAAAGATGGACATGTTCATTGTAACGTCAGCCCACCAAAGCCTTTTCAGGTGCCGCAGAAAGCGATGCAGGGTAAAAGCTTCCAGAATTTTTTTTTATTCTGCTGTATCTGGACAGCTTCAAGAGGGAACTGGATAAACATATGGAGCAGAGGTCCATCGGTGGCTCTTAGCCACAAGGTATAGATAGGGACTCTCGGTCTGGGGCAAGGGATGCTCTATATTCTTGGTGCTTGGGGGGGGGCAACAGTGGGAGGGCTCCTAGTGTCCTGGCCCCACTGCTGGACCTCCTGATGGCACCTGGTATTTTTGGCCACTGTGTGACACAGAGTGTTGGACTGGATGGGCCTTTGGCCTGAACCAACATTGGCTTCTCTTGTGTTCTTATGTTCTCTGGAAAGTTTTCCACCCCTCATCTGTAAATACAGCCTGTTTGTCTTGAGATGTCAGGGCAGTCGTGCTGCAAATCTATCACGTTGGATGGGCTAAATGTGGGATACGAAGCAGGGAACGACAAGCAGTTGAATCTCTGAGGGTCGCTCCATTCAGATGCTGCCGCCGCCATGGGCCATATTGTACACACAGCAAACATCAGCGATCTTTGCAGTTAGAGTAAAAAAAAAATTTGTCATGCTTTGCCATTTACTTGCCGATTGACTGAATGCCAATGCCGAGCGTATCTGTAATCTGCTTGGAGTCCCAGAGTGAAAAGCGGACTGCTGCAGGAAGTGGTGGCTGCTACAGGCACAGACAGCTTCAAGAGGGGCTTGGGAAAACATATGGAGCAGGGGTCCATCAGTGGCTATTAGCCCCAAGGTATAGATGGAACACTCTGTCAGGGGCAGTGATGCTCTGTATTCTTGGTGCTTGGGGGGGCCACAGTGGGAGGGCTTCTGGAGTTCTGGCCCCACTGGTGGACCTCCTGATGGCCCCTGGGTTTTGGCCGCTGTGTGACACGGAGGGTTGGCCTGGAGGGGCCTGATCCAACATGGCTTCTCTTATGGTCTCACTACAAACAAAGCTAATAAGAACAATAACAAATAATAGCAATGGACAAACCCCACCCTTTGCACACCGGCCAGTTGCCTCCTTTTGCTAATGTTATTTACATTATTTATTTAAATTTTCCCAGAACACCCACATCACTGGCCACAGGAGCCTTTGTGCAACGGACAAGCATGGCTGTTCCACTGGAGCCTGGTTTTAAGCTGCAGCCGGTTAAGCACAGAAACAGAGACCAGCCGTCCCACCTGGGAGTGAATATGGCCACGTGAACGAAAAAGCCGACCTTTCAAATGAACAAACACATCGAATCGGTGGTTTTCAAGCCAACAGTCACTGGCACAGTTTTAAGAAGTCCCTAAAGCCACAATAATAACGAGACATGCAAAAGGGACGGGCCGCTGCTGCCACCACCTCTCCCAAAGGCGTTTTCTCTTTTTCTCCACTGCATGCACAATACATTTACTATTTCAGGAGCGCAAAGGCAGCCCACACGTTTTAAACCAGAAGGGCTCCCAAATGGTTGTCCACGAAAAAGCAAAAGAACAAACCATAATGGTGCAATGGGGGGGAAAAAGAAAGGTTTCGTACTGAAACTCCCCCCCCATAGCCCTCTTGTTTTTTATTCTTTCACTACACCGTCGGCATGGCCCCCTTCGACCACTTTCCACAAAACAAGCAAGATAAAGACTGGGGGGAGGCTCAGCATAATCCATTTCAAGCATGACTCCTGTGGCCAGTGGAAGAGGAGGGGACTGTAAATATTTGTGGTATTTGCAGCTGCTGCCAATCAGGAGAAGAGATTGGATTTATACCCTCCCCTTCACTCGGAGTCTCAGAGCGGTTGACAAACTCCTTTCCCTTCCCCACAACAGACACCCTGTGAGTTAGGTGGGCCTCGGAGAGCTCTTTCGAGGACTGCTCTTGAGAGAACAGCTCTGGCAGAAGTATGGCTTGCCCAAGGTCATCCAGCAGCTGCAAGTAGAGGCGTGGGGAATCAAACCCAGTTCTCCCAGATTAGAGTCCACACACTTAACCACTGCACCAATCAGTCCCTCCAAACGCCAGGCTTGTTCCACCATCCTTCAAGTCCTCGAAGGCTGGCTAGGCACGTTTCATCCTGGATCCACTGAGGCAAGTAAGACACCGAGGAAAGGGATGGAAGAATACCTCAAGACGATACAGGGGGAGCTAGCCAAAGGCCCTTGTTTGCAGGGGAGGGAAGGTCTGCTTATGGGGGAGCCAGTTTTGTATAGTGGCTAAGTGCGTGGACTCTGGCAGAACCAGGTTTGATTTCCCACTCCTCCACTTGCACCTGGTTGGATGACCTTGTTTTGTCAGAGCTGTCCTTGAAAAAGAGCAGTTTCTGTCAGAGTTCCCTCAGCCCTGCCTACCTCTGAGGGTGTCCACCCAGTCCAACACTCAGTGGCCAAAAATACCAGGGGCCATCAGGAGGTCCAGCAGTGGGGCCAGGACACTAGAAGCCCTCCCACTATTGACCCCCCCCCCAAGCACCAAGAATACAGAGCATCCCTTGCCCCAGACCGAGAGTTCCTATCTATACCTTGTGTCTAATAGCCGCCGATGGACCTTTGCTCTTAACATAAGGACATAAGAGAAGCCAATGTTGGATCAGGCCAATGGCCCACCCAGTCCAACACTCTGTGTCACACAGTGGCCAAAAATACCAGGTGCCCTCAGGAGGTCCAGCAGTGGGGCCAGGACACTAGAAGCCCTCCCACTAAGAGCCAGTTTGGTGTAGTGGTTAAGTGCGCGGACTCTAATCTGGGAGAACCGGGTTTGATTCCCCACTCCTCCACTTGCACCTGGCTGGATGACCTTGGGCAAGCCGTAGTTCTGACGAGCTGTTCTCTCAAGGACAGCTCTGGAAAGAGCTCTCTCAGCCCCGCCTACCTCACAGGGTGTCTGTTGTGGGGAGGGGAAGGGAAAGGAGTTTGTAAGCCGCTCTGAGACTCCTTTGGGTAGTGAAGGGTGGGGTATAAATCCAATCTCCTCTTCTTCTCCTCCTCCTCGGCAGTAGCCAGGAGCTTTCCAACTCCTTCTTGCAGAAGAGGTCTCTCCCTCCTCCTCTGCCCACCACTCACCATGCGCAGGCTCCCTGGAGCTACGGAGGATACTCTGCAAGTGGCAGCGCACGTTCTCCATCTCCGTGATGTGGCGGGACTCGGTAGCGCCGCCCTGCAGCAAGGAAGGAGACCGCGTTTTAACTGGCGCCGAGAGATCTTGGCCGTCCCCGGCCCCCAGTCCCCCCCTTTCCTCACCTTCCTGTAAGCACTGGCCTCCACACTGGTCGACAGCCTTTGGCTCAGCTCCTCCGCCAAGGTATCCAGGTCCACCTCAGGAGCCTCCGCTTCCCTGGCCAGGCTCCGACCCTGCTGGGCCTCCAGGTGGGAGCGGGCCTGAGCCTCGGCCTGCCGGCTCTGGTGCAGGGAGGTGTAGAGCTGTGTGGTCACCGTGGAAGAGAAGGGGCTGGTTGACTGGGCACGGGGCACCGGCTGCGCGGGGGTGGTGGGCACGGAGGCGGGCAGGAGCTCCATGTCGCTCAGCAGGTCCTCACTGTGGATGGAGGAGTTCAAAGTCCGGCACGTGCTCTTCTCCGCCATCGAGGCGAGGGAGGAAGGAGGGATCCGCCGCTTCCCCCGCTCAGCAAGGCAGCAAGAGTCCTGCATTCAGAAGCCTGGCGTCTTTGTTATAAGGGGGGGGGTCCCTTGATGATGGGTGGGTTTCCACGAGAGCCAAGGTAGATTCAGGTATGCAGCTCTGTCCAGGGTGCTGAGGAGAAGAGGCTCCAAGCATGATGCACGGGGGAAGGGTGAGAACGTCCCAGGTGGCCCTAAATAAGAAGGAGAAGAAGACAGATTCAGGGTGGGTCGCCGTGTGGGTCTGAAGCAGGCGGAACAAAGTTCGAATCCAGCGGCACCTTGGAGACCGACAAAGTTTGATTCAAGGTATGAACTTCTGAGTGAGCTTCTCAGAGCCTCAGAGGAAGCTGAGGCGCCCCCCCCCACACCTCTCACCTAGGGCTGGCCATCACCTTGCAGGGCCTGGAGATCTCCTAGAACTACAGCTGAGCTCCAGAATACAGAGACCAGTTCCCCCACAAGGAAGGGGTTGCTTTGGAGGGGGGGAGACGGACTCTATGGCATCCCACCCCTCCTGAGGTCCCTCCCCAAACCCCCCGCCCTAGGCTCTGCACTACCCCCCCAAAAAAAAAGGAATTTTCAGGAATCTTC